GACTCCCAATCAGTCAATCAGTCAATCAATTAACACAGATTATTAACTTTTTTTTGTATCTTTGTTGTCATATTTTTCAGGTAACCTATACTTGACAACAGCATAATAAAACTGGAAATTATGTTTTTGGTGTGCCACCCCAAATACTTTTAGTGGCCCCCATATGGCCACCCTTATGAAAACATCCTGGAGATGGCCCTGCATACAGCTGATTCCTCCATTTTCCTTCCCCTCCACAAACTGCATTCATTTGGAAACAGACATGACTTGGATGAAGTTGGATTTATCCCTAGAAAAGCTTCTTCAGAAATCATTCCCATCTGAATATATCTTTAGACTTTCAGTTTTGCTTTCAGAAAGTTAGCCTTTGCTCTGAGGGTAGCCTGCAGAACATTTTTTGATCTTGAAGATGGTGAAGGTGGACAGCACCTTCAAAATCAGCTTAACTATTACAAGTTTAACATCTCTGCATTCTTCATTTTAATTTTGATCACTTGCACAAATTACAAAAAATCAATTTTCTTCTAACTGCCAGCTTGGCATTACAGGCAGAAGGAAAAAAAAACAGGCATCAAGCAATGTCATGGACATTGTTTGATGCCTGTTTTTCCAGTGGCTATCTCTGATGACACTGTTTAGACAAGACTGCATGATGCACATTTGCAGTCATCTAATTTGCTCTGTTTTTAACCCCCTACCCTGCACCAAAGTCATAACAAACTTGTGGTTTGTAGCCAAACCTTGGACTACAAAGGTCCCATAGATTACTTTAAAATACAGCAGACCTCCAAAAGAGTGTGGAGCAAGCATGCAGAAAATTTCCATTTCATTAGGTGACTCTGCCACAAAAATCTTGGGTTTTGATACAAGTTTTAAGGTTGTATAATTTCAGTGGGGAAGCTGAAAATAACTGACAAGGAATACACACGTGTGCTAATACTAGATGTCAAAATGGAAAAAAGCGTCAGTGCGTTTAGGAAGGACACTCCTGATCTTCTGTGCTGGCACAAAGGTCTGCAGCAACTTTACTTCAGCTCACACCATGTGTGCAGATATCATTAGAGGAGATACCGAAACTGATCACAGTAACCTTCACATCCCTCCCACCCCGCTCCTCGCCGCCTTCATCACCAGTTTCATCCTCGCTTCTCTCTCTCCTTGTTGTTTTCCCTCTCAGCACTTTAATCTTAAAAGCAAGCTGCCCCTGATGAGGAAGATCAAAGCAGCCCTGCACCAAGCACAGGTCACCAACTCCATCCTCGTGATCATGGCGCACGGTGATATTATTGATTTCTCCGAGATCAATCTTGTCAACTGCTGTTATCCTCTACTGCACCAAAGAGAAGCCGGACGTGAAGATAGAAGGAGGAGGAGGAGGAAATTCCAGCGTGTTATGTAAGTTGCAAGGAGGATTTTTCACAACGTAGCACAAGTCCAAAAGAACTTAGACTTTTTTTTTTCCTTTCTTTTTGTCTAAATTTGTCTGTCGTGTCAGAGGGACGCTTGTGCTGATTTGGCAGGGAGAGCTTTTCTGAGAAATGAGAGAGATGAATGCTCTCTCATAGCCACGGGGAGTTGCATGACGTCAGTCGCCATTCACTGTTTGCGCTCATTTTTGTGTTTTGTCACAGACACACACACACACACACACATGGATGTATGAAGCAGTGTTTTTTTCCAGATGAATGCCTGCATAGATGCCTAGTTCTTAAGTAAGATAACCCTTTGGAGCAAGGCAGAGGTAGATTACATGGCTGCTGAGTCCAGAGTCACATCCAGGGATCCAGTCAATGTGGTGGGAGGGAAGGATGGAGAAGGGAAAGAGGAAGGGAGTGAGAGGGAGGGAGAGAGACAAGGAGAGGCGGAAGCTGGTGAGGGGTTTCTATTTCAAATCTCCCCGGACCCCCAAGGCACTTCCGTTCTGGCAGCATCCTCCACCAAAATGAATCATTTCCATCAAAGGAGAAGCTCTGACCATTGAGTGCTTTTCCCCACCCAAAGCAAACTCACATCACTGTCGTATCTATCTGCTGAAAAAAAAGAAAGAAAGCCCACTCTGTCCGCTTTCAAACGACCGTCAGACACAGCGGCTTTAACGGGCTGCCAAATCAAAATCTGACAAACAAAATGAACTAGACGTCAGCTCAGAAAAAAGGAAAAGAAAAAAGAAAAAGCTTCTGTTAATGATAGAAAACACACCTCCTTCCATTCCTGGTGGCAAACTTGTTTTTCACGCTCTTATATAACACATCTATTATGTTGCCCTGCAGAGAGGCTGCTTTAGAAATCATCTTTTCTCACACTTGGATTTCTTCAATATGGCCTTAATATTTCCATTACCCCCCACCCCCTCCTCCCATGAGCAAAACCACTAATTTTACAATGGAGGCAGACAGTATTTGATGCCCTACAGCTGCAGTGAAGTAGCTTAAACTGCTTGGCAGTGTCATGTGTGCTGCAGTGGTCCGTCTGTCTGTCAGTCACACGGATCAATAGGTGGTGCTCTTGCATGGCTGCTTAAATCCCCCCCCACCCACCCATCTGCCCTATCTCCAAGTCGCAGAAGTTCTACATCTTTGTGCACCCCCGAACTAAAACACACACACACACACCCTCCTTCTTTTGTGTGTGTGTGATGGTGGTGGTGGTGGGGGTGGGGGGGTCTTTTCCACCGTCGTGCGATTATACATTTATTAATAACAAATTGCTGACGTCATCTGACAAATAGAGGGGAGATCGCTTGTGTAGAGGTTGATGATGAGATTGGCCGTTGAATTAAAAAGAGCGAAATTATGCGCATTTAGAGGAAAGGTGGTGTTCTAGGTCTCCTTCTTTTTTGCGTGTTTTGTGCGTGTGTGTGAGAGAGAGGCAACAAAATTACAGCACCGAGGCTTGACAACGTGAAGCAGTGACACGCACACAAACACACACACACACACATAGAAGCAGCTCTCTCCGTGCGCGCAGCCGGGGCTGTGCGTCCGAGTGCGCCAGTGAGTGTGTGTTTTGAATTCAAATGCAGCAACACACCAGAACTGCAAATGCGGAGACTGAGGAGAGGATGGCGATGATGTGTTTGGGGTAGTAGGAGGAGGGACGGAAGCCTTCACATTTTTTTTATATCCCCCCCCCACCTCTAAATGTAATTAACGACCTGGCTCCATCACGTATACTGCCCCCATGATAAGTATAGCTCACTTCAGAGGATATAGCGGCCGTGCCAGGTACATTTGGCAACATGAAGCGGGCGGTAATGATAATAAAGATTCACCTACCATGTTGACTTCTGAGACCATGTCTATGCTGGCTATGTCTATATTCATCCCCACAGCAACCGGGGCACCTGTGAAGGAAGGAAGGGGGTGGTGAAAAAGGAGGCATCAACACGGGACATGAATTATTCTCACCATCATGTAAATTTTAACAAATTCGTGACGCCAGTGCAGGTTCCTCTCCGAACCCCGCACCTACAGAAGGCTTGTGCATCATCAGCCCGATCAAGAAAAAAAACCCCTACACGCTTGATACACAGATGAGCTTAAATGGTGTTAATTTCATTTATTTAGCGGCGTAATCAAACATTGATGAGCGGTATCGATCACGTTAAAAGCCCCCCATCATCATATGAAATATATGCACATCATCTCTCTTGGGCTAATCGGAAAGGCCTATTTGACTGTGAAGGGATAATTATGTAAATGAAAGCAGATTTTGCGATTCATTAAACATGTATCGCACGTCAGGAGGGCGTGAAAACATGACATTCCCGTTTTCAATTTGCTCGTTACCTCCGAAATCTGGCCTCAACCGAATGTCGTATCCTTTCATCAGCCTGTCCACTGTTTCTTTTACCAGAGGCATATTGCTCGGATCTTTGATATCCTTGATGCTGCGGAGAAAAGGGTGGTGTAATGCAAGAAAAGAACCACATATTAAAAAAATAGCGCATTAATGTCACGCGCCAGGCACGCGTTCACAGAGCTAAAATCGCATGCAAGACACACAGACGCAAAAAACGAGATTACCTTTGAGCCCACACAAAAGTCACTAGTAAAGAAAAAGTCAAAATCCCAAAGTGGTTTTTCCTGATCCTCCCCATCGCAACAGTTTTTGAGGCGCCTTCGGGATGCGAGTGAGGGGAGCGCACATCCAACTTACTCCAGACAGTGCAGAGGAGCCAATGAGGGGCGCATGCGTGCAGCCAGCCCAAGATCAAAGAGTGGAGACTGATGATGGTGGATGAGCAGTTTCCATTGCAGAGAAAAATATTAAAGGGACAAGTGAATGTACGTAATGAAGAAACAAGCGTTTATGGCAGGAGTGAAAACACCGACAACCGCGTTCGTTTAGGCTGCTTTTATTCTTCGTGCTGATTACACGGCAGATGAGTTTGTCTATTTCCTGACAAGGTCGAAGAATGGAAAAAACTGCAGGGTTTAAAATGGTCAGATTAAGTTAAGAACAACTTTATTCCCTCTGTTTTCATCTTACCGGATATATTAAGTGGTGAAAAACAGAATCAATCCATCACATGTACACGAGCCTACCTTTACACAACTATCTTTTATGCATCGTACATACAAAAATAGGAAAAGAATACCACCATCACCCATGGGTATATATCGTACTCCTCCCCGCAGTGTTTCCAGAGGACCTGCTGTACTTCTGGAAATGCAAGGGGAGCACCAAAGCAGAAATGTGGGGTGGAAAACACAAGCCCACAAGTCTTCTTCTTCTTCTTTTTCAGGTTTCAGTACATTTTTGAGCCTTCAAGGAGGGATGCAGCCTCCTCTAAATTGCCTTTGATGTTGTTGTAGTGGGAGCTGTGCTTCTGTAGAGGGCAGGCTTCTGAAAGTGTTGGTTCACTGTTGCATCACCACCAGTTAAAGCCATCATAGATTATATCATCCACATCTTTTTGATGTGTTTCTTGGTTTGTGCGTGTGTGTG